GCTCGACGCAGATTCGAGGCGGATTTGGCATGGAACCGACGTGGGTGCGACGTGGATTCGACGCGCATTTGACGAGTCCGATATTGATCCGACCCAGAATCGACGCAGAGGGGCACGACGGGACAGCAACAGCTTCCCGATGATACAATTTGACACCGTTCCGCGCTAGCGTCCCCTGGGGCGTCGTCGATTCTCGACCCAGGAGTGGCACGGTGCACAGCCTCCAGGTTCCCAGCGCCGAAGCGCCATGCCCCGCACTGCGTGGGAGCGGGGCCTCACGGGTGTCCAAACGCGGTGCGGTGCACGGGCGCCGTTCTCGTATGAGAGGACCGCCGTGGCACCCAGGCCGCGCAGGTGGCCGGGGGCGTCCAGGGAGGGCGCGGGGACGGGAAATCGGTCCTCGGCGGTTTTTGGATCGGAATTGCGTAATGGAGGCACAGTGAATGGGAGAGCGAAGAAAGTGAAAGGCCCACCCCTTGTGGCCTCGAAGGGCAGGAGAGGTGCACGTTTTCTTCCTCCATTGATTGCCCATTTCGGAAAGTTTGTCTGCATGGGGATGTTTCTTCTGGCGTTTTCGTTTTGTCCTGGCTTCGGTCGTGTTCGGTCGTTTTCGTTGGTGTCGGGTTCTTGTTTTCGTCGTCTTCGTTGGTTTCGGTTTCGTAGGGGCACGGGCTGAGGTGTTCGGTTGTTTTCGTTGGTTCCTGGAGGTTTTCCCGCCTCGGGATGCTATCCAGCTGCTGCGTTTCGCCGCAGGCGTTCCAGGGGCGCCCAGATCTCCCAGGACTGCCGCCGGAGAGCCGAGGTCTGACCCGAGCAGCAAGGGGCAGCGTCAGGAGGAGGGATCCAGGAACCTCTTTGCTCAGGGGCCGTGGGGTCCAGGCCGTGCAGGTGGTGTGGGGCGCCCAAGATCTGGAGGATCAAACTGGGTATGCAGGAAGGCGGGGGACGAAGACTGGCAGCAGTTCCCCTCCATTCTGAACAGGAAGCTCTGTCGGTACCGCCGCCGACGTCGATTTGAGACGGATGGTCGTCTGCCCAACAGCGGCTGGTGTTGGTGTGGACAGCGTTTACCCTTGCCGGGCGTGCCAAGCAGAGGGTCGGGGGCGTCCAAGAGGGAGGTGAGGACTAGAGGTCGGGGGCAACGTCAGTGCGGGTCGCAGGCTCAGGGGGGTGGGGGATGCATCGACCGTCGACCCCCGACCGCCCATTTATCGCCGACAGGGGCCCGAAGGCCCATCCCGCCTGGGAACTCGCGGAGTCGCTATCCGAGGCATACCGCCGATACATGCATCGCCGATTGCAGGTCGATACTTCTTCCCTGAGCCGGTCCCTCCCTAACCTTCCCCCTCATGGGGTGTGTGGGCATAGCTTATCTAAGCACGTCCTTCGGTTCCCCCCAGGACCGCGTACGTGCCTCGGGCCGTGAATTGTGAACACCCCTCTTGGATCCCCCTCTTGGACGCCCCCGAGATAGGGGTCGGAGCAGATGGGGCCAGAGGATCGCGCCGCATCGCCGATGCGTCGGCTCCACGGCCCGATCCAGAGCCTGATTTTCTCAGCCCCGGCGACGCCGATGCATCGGCGTTGCGGTGCGATCCTCCAGCTTAGAGCCGGCTGGGTGTCTGAGGTGGCCCAGCATTGGTTCGAGGGAGCAGGATCGGGGGTCCGAGGTTCGAGGCTTTGGCTTCGAGCAAGTTTTTGTTGCCTTGTTCGGCCTCCGGGAGCCGTTGTCGTGACCGGGGTCCGTCAAGAATGGATCCAGGGTGAAATCTACACCAGATGGACCCCCGGAAGGGATCCAGGGACAGATTGTGATTGGCCGCATCTTCGGTGGCGACCCAGGGGAGAAGTGAGAAGGGGTGGGCCTTCTCGGGAGGCTCGGATGGCCTCGGGCCTTTGAGAAGGTTTCTTAGCCTGCCCAAAGACACGGAACATTTCCCAGAAGGCTCGAGGCTTTTTGAGAAGCCTCTCCGTTTTTGAGAAGGCTTGCCCCTTCTCGCTTCTTTCTTGGGCGTGCCGCCGACATTTGCTCCAACCCCGTCTGGGCGGCCTTCAGTTGAGGATCTGTGTGCCGCGCAAGATTCAGACACGTGTTCATGTGACAACTCGACTTTCAGCATATTCAGACATGATGTTGTTGGAGATGATGTTGTCTTGGCATATGAAAAGATGCGCGTGCTACGTTCTTGTTTGCTCGTCAAAATTACGTTATGTGGCAAGCTATTCGCAGTTTCGATTTGTTTGTTGTTCGGTTTCACAGGAAGTCCAGTTTGCAAGGGTAGTATTGCTCCATGGCTTCGTCTGATCTCAAGTCGCCAGCGGCAGCGGTTGCAATCTTGAATTGCCTGCCCCGCGCCGAGATGATGCGGTTCAGGGGCTGCCGCGTCATCGGCGGCCGCGGCAGGGGCGAGTAGGCCAGGGGGGGGGATACAGAGCGAACGCGGTCCCATGACCCCCCCGCAAGACAGAATCCCAACGCTTAAAATCCGCGCGTGAGGTGCAATTGGGGGAACACCCAATGCACCCTGAGCGTAGCAGCTTCTTGAACGCCCGCGGGAGATCACCGTGCAGCGCGCGTTGCAAAGAACCCCAAGACATCTGCACGAAAAACAGATGAGCGACGACAAGCAACGGGTCTTAAGCGAGATGCCATGTCGACCTTACGCGGGCCGCCAGCGTGGCACGCTGCATGGGAATCGATGGCGCGTACGCGCGACCGTTCGCGGGCATCTTACGCGCGAATGTCAGTACAGTCGAACCCGCTTGTCTGCGTCGCTCATATGGTTTCTTGAAGCGCGTCCCCATTGTATTGCACATTTCGAGCCTCGTTCAGTAGTTGAGCGATTGGAGCCCCGCCTCAAAATATGTATAATGCATCCCCCCGGGTAACGGTAGGTTCGCGCCACGTGCTGGCGCGACGGCGACCCTGGGCCGAACGAAGTTGGTGGAACTGGCGGAGCTGCGCTTTCGGAGGGGCGATCATCTGGGGTGCCCAGATTGGGCCAGGTCAGTCGTTGGTGAGGCTTCGGGTTGCGCACAGACAGCACCCCCAGGAAGTCTCAGCTGGCCTCAACAGGCTCCCCTAGTAGTCTGGGGCGGTCTGAACACCCTGGCTCCGCCGCTGGCGGCTCCCCTGGGGCGCTTCGCGCTCCAGGGGTGAGGTGCGGAGACCGACCCGGGCTACTTGGGGGCCTATTGATGGCAGCTTGGACCACCTGGGGGCGCTGCGCAACCGGAAGCCTTACCAAGCAGAGGTGTTCGGAGGACCTCTCCGCAACGCCGAAGCATCGGCGATGCGGCGCGATCCGGACCCCGATCTTCTCCGTCCCGACGTCGCTTACGTGTCGCCGATGCATCAGCGGTGTGCCGCGACCCTCCAACCCTGTCTGCTCGGACCCCTTAGGCTGGTTGAGCAATCCACGTGGTGTCAGGAACCCGCCCACACGTTAGTGGCATCAACAATGGGGGACTGACCCAGCGGGGACCCCCAATCGCCCATATCATCGCCAATCAGGGTCTGGCGTCTGCCTCCCCTGTCTCGCCCAGTAGCGAGCGGTTCCGCTATACCGAGGGCCTATTCTGGATACATATACGAAGTACCGCCGATTCCGCCCCAGAGTTCCCCTCCCTGAGCCTGTCCCCCCTTCGAGTTCGGACGAATGGGAACGAAGCCCCTACCAGGTGTGCCTCCTCCAGCGATGATGTCCACGATGCCTCTCCGAGCTGGGGATAGGGGATGCCAGGGGGGACCACACCACCAGAAGGAACACCCCTGGCTCCTCGCGCTGGTAATGGTGGTGAGGTTGCGGAAGAGAAACGGCATTGCGAAAACAATGTGACCCGAGCCCCAGGCCCCATCGTTCTGCGGCACTTCTCGAGCCACATCGATCTGTCAGGGTCCCGTGGCCCGAGACTGGTCGCGAAGCCCCCGATGAAAAGGAACGATGCTGTTCAGGACGTGTGGTAGCCCAGCGTGTGTGTTACCCCTTTCAGCTTTGCCAATTCCACGCAGCCTGCGTCTGTTCTCATTTCATCGCCTGCGTCGTAGTCCACGACCTCGGTAGACAAACACACGCTGGCGCAGACCCTAGTCCTGTGAATCATCGATACATGCAACGCCCGCACCTCAGGGTGCCTTGCTTCTACGTCGCTCCCCCCCGCAGCACGCCCGTGCGACACCCGTGGGCGAACAACATCCGTATCCACGACCTCATGGGCAGGGCGCCAGGGCCGAGACACAGCGGATATTGGGCGTTTCTTTTGCAGAGTGCTTTGTGCTTAACGCGCCCGTGCGACCACGTATCTTCAGGATCGCTCCCCGCAGTCCAGACCGCGAGGGCGCGGAAACGGGTATGTTCGCCGTTCTTTCTGCGAGGAGGAGGAGGAGGAGGAGGAGGAGGAGGAGGAGAAGAGCAGGAGGAGGAGGAGGAGCAGGAGGAGGAGGAGGAGGAGCAGGGGGAGCAGGAGGAGCAGACTCGGCCGCGTGCAAGATCTCGGCCGTGTTACCTCTCCTGCCTTTCTCTGTTTCTTCCTTCCCTTCGTTCCTGTAGCTGTCAGGGACCAGGCTCAACTCCATACGTTTTATTTGTCCGCTGAGTGGAGCTCGAGCAGGCCGAGTTCAGACGGTCCACTCGATTGGTATTGCTAACG